CAGGGATTCGCCTCCGGCGATCCGGACCGCGATGCGGCGGCTCTGCGCTATTTCGTTGACGAATTGGGTGTGCCCACCGTCCTATTGGCCCAAAGCTTTGCCAAGAATATGGGCCTCTATGGCGAGCGTGTTGGCGCCTTCACTATGATTTGCAGTTCCAAAGAGGAAGCCGCTCGCTGCATGTCTCAAATTAAGATTCTTATTCGTCCAATGATCAGCAACCCGCCCTTGCATGGTGCTCGCATTGCCGCTGAAATTTTGGGTGACCAGGAACTTCGCAACAGTTGGTTAGTATCCTTTCATGAGGTTAAATGCCTGTTGTACAATTTCCAATTGTGCCCGTATAATAATATCTTTTTGTACCTTTCTGTAGGCTTTCTGATGTCAAACTGATGGCCAACCGAATCATTAGCATGCGCACGGAGCTTAGGAATAAGTTGAAGGCAGAGGGCTCGACTCGCAACTGGCAACACATCACAGATCAGATCGGCATGTTCTGCTACACTGGTTTGACTCCAGAACAGGTAAGCTTTTAATTGATAAGCATTTGATACAGTTATATTGGCCAACCGTTTAGTATTACATAAGCATCAATTTGGGCACTACAAGCTTGCTCTCAGAGACTAAGTGCAGTGCCAGATTGCCCACAACATTGGGCCACCATTGTTTTAGGTTGACACACGAATGTAGTTTGGAAAGTTTGGCATTTGCAGCATCTGCACTGTCTACTTAGGCACTTTTGAAACTAGACCAGCCCCAGCACCGTTTCCCGTGCGTAGTCAAATATTGAAGCGACTCACCCTATTGACCTCCCGTTCTGTCGACTTTCCAGATAGAACGGCTACTGACTATTCACACCTAATTTTGTTTCCACCAACATAAAAATGGCAAATATGATGGTCCCTGTCAACTCAGGCTGCTTGTCTCACTCTTTCTGTTTGCATTTCGTGATCGCAACTTGTCCCTGTGTGGTGAAACATTTTCTTCACAGTTTTTTTGCTTTGTTTTGTCACGTACGCCACCTGTATGACTGTATAAATTCTCTCTGTGGCTGACAGGTTGAACGCCTGACGAAGGAGTTCTCAATTTACCTCACGAAGGACGGACGTATTAGTGTCGCTGGAATCACAACCAAGAATGTCGGTTACCTTGCGCATGCCATGCACGAAGTGACCAAGTAGGCTCCATTTCGGCTCGCCTCCTAGAAACTTCCCCGTCCCGTCGGATATCCCTCCTTTCTTCTTTCCTCGTGGTTGCTTCCTGTAAACATTCATGTACATGAAAAAAAATCCTCGAGAAACTTAATTTTCGTCTTGCTTGTCATTTTCGCCTGTAAGGTGGGCTGAAAACCAAGATAGTAGTACTGGACTTCAATCTACGTTGCTTGCTTGTGACTGTAATTTCTTTCAGTCAGAATGACTAGATATGAGTGCAATCGATTAAGTTGTAAAATACATTTTTATGCGTAGCGGCGTCGTTCACGCTTGACTTTAGGCCTGGGCCAACACCTCTACCTGGCTTAAGATCGTGGACTTTGCAATATTTCAATATTTTCCATAAAGGAAAAATGCTATCATTTTGAGAAGACTCGATCCCTGGGACAGTACATTTGTTCGCCTGACGTTTCGACCTCCGTCGCGGATTCTTCATCGGAGACGTGAGCAGAAAGAAGTAGTAGAAACGAGCGACACATGCACAGAAAGTTGCAGTTTTTATAGAACAGAGTCATTTCTGCAACGAAGGATCTGCGAAGGATTTCGAAACGTCAGACGCATAAAAGTGTTGTCCGAGCGATCGAATCTTCTCACTTTCTTCCTGGGACTTGTATGTTCATTTTTATTGGCAGTACTATCATTTCCTCTGGAATTGCCCCTAATTTTCATTTCACGTCTGAGTCTGTCACGCAGTTATTTATTGGCAGAAGTTACCGATGTAGATAAAGGAGATTGTAATGGGCGCCTGTTTACCATCGTTAACATTTCCGATCGAAACCGACAAGACATCGAGCACGTGGTGCAGTGGGTTAGAGCGTTGGACTTCAAATCAATGGGTCGCGGGCCCGAACTCCGGGTGCCGCAACACATGAATTTAGATAAAGCTGCACGATGAGGGCTATAAAACCAGAAATAGCCATTCCAGGCTCCGTTGTCTGTGTCAGTTATGTCCCTCTACCATCTGTAATACGGGAATAATGGCTCGTAAAGAGAGGACAGATTGGGGAGACACGCATGAAAGTTTACTACCGACTAAAGGCCTGACACAGCTGGCTAGTAGGAGGTTGTAGCTGGCGGAGTTATTGCGTTAGTCTATTTACCATCCGCTGGGATGGTTCTGACCCCTGGGAAGAGTCATCCATTCCTCCGCTTAAATGACAAGATGCCGCAGTTTCGCCCTTCAGCGATGACTCATCCACAGGCATGACTAGTCAGCCCGCAACCGCCGTCTCTCTCGGCATAGATAGATTCATCTGTATAGCTCTGCCCGTTGGGAAAACAATCGTCTTAAGCAAAGGTTTTTTTTTATCTTCAAACACATGACTGACATAGGCAATATATTGGGTGAGTGAAGTAAGTTGCACTCCGCGATGATATGATGAAACGAAAGAAGATCGTCGGGAAATCGAGTTGTACTCGTGGATTTTCAAAAAGATATCACTTGTCCTTCGTCGGTCTAAATGAAAAGTGAGGGCTGGAAATGTGGCACTAGAGGTTTTGGGGGCAGAGGTTACAACGAACTGGGATGTGCTTGGCGGGAGGATTACGTTGACGTGAATCTTGTGACGATATGTTGTGCAGGTAAGGGGGTAGGTGTTAACGTTTGGATTGTGGGCCACAGGTGCAGAACGAGTGAAGTTCTACTTGAACGAGCACGGACGGCAGACTCATGTGACCAATATAACCTGTTCCACAGGAGCGCGTAAATGAGTGAATGCACATGTGTTAGGAGTCAGCCTAACCGACTGCTAGCATTACCTCTCAGGCTATCCTGACAAATCGTTCCTGTGGCCGACAGCCAACAATAATTCCTTTTCAATGCGAACGACCTCGAGGTTATGTTTCTACGCTGGTGACTTTCCCTACTCGATGACCTTAAGCCGCTAGATGGATATTCACTCGCGCACCCTCGCACGCGAGCACAAGTGAGCGCGCCACCCTGCGGCCACGCCGCAGGTGACCTCAATACTCGGCACACCTCGAGTAATCCAACGCACCAATCAGACAACACTGGTCTGGACAGAACACGAATTTTAACAGTTTCGTACCCCTTCAACAGAAGCGAAATCTAGTTCG